TAGAATAATAAATCATTTTAAGCGGTTTTTAAAAAAAAAAAAAAAATTGTATAATACAATTATTTGAATTACTGCAGTTAATCGATTTGAGTTCATTTCCAAGCCAAACAATTTAGACGCAAAGTCCTCGTACTGTTCAGCCTGTAAACACGTTCGATAACGATATTTGTTGTTATTATTTTTTTTTAATCGTTACATATTTCTGACATTCAATTTTAACACAACACGTTTATGGGTATTATATTGTTCTCTCTCACTTACCGACCTATTTGTATTAGAATTTTTTTTTTTACGTCTAGACATAGGTTCCCTTATAAACCTACGTGACTTCTATGTATACATGCGTATTCGTATATACGCGTGTAAATAGGATTTAAAGTACATTTTGCACGCGTATGTCCGTTGGAATTATTACGCCATCATCTCGTTACCAGTATATATGGGCTTTTTACGATGATAAAATTATTTTTAACGAGTGCAGGCGTTGTCGTCGTATCTTTATTACTGTAATTGTTTCTCGAAGTTCGTGAGGTATTGGTAGGTACACGCATACACACACACACACACACACATACACTTTATTTATTAATTTTATATTTGTTACGTTCGAAGAAGACGCTGCAGTTGTTTGTTTTATATGATTTTTTTCGTTCCCTCCTTGTATTATATATTGTACTATAAAGGTAGCTAGGTGTATATATATACCGTTTATTGCTAAAAATATAAATATAGTATAGCTATAATACAAAATGTCAGTGGCCGCGATTTTATCGGTGTATTTTATTGCAAATGAGAAAGCGCATTAAAGCGGCGGCGTCGTCGTCGGCGGTAGTCTTATGTGCGGTCCCTGCAAGACATAAACTCGAATAATGGTGTTTTTCCGATTTCCAAAGCGGAAGTTTTACATAAAAGACAGTTTGTGTATTTCATATTGCTAATATATTTGTGTGTATATATATATATATATTTTAAAAAAGGAGCGATTCTGAGCGAAGCTCGGTTAAACGCGTTTTGAAATTCCGCGATTTTAACGATTTTCGCCTTAAACGCTTATAAAAGAAACTACTAAATTACGATCAACTTTTTGTTTCGATCGATAAGTAGGTCTTATAATGCCTTGTGCCTTGAACCTTGTATTAAATTTTCAAGGATTTCTGCTCGACCGAAACAATTTATAGACACATAGAACCAAATAGTAACTAAATAACTTTAAATGCATGCAAAGAGCTCAAAAATCGCTAAAATTTGTGATTACGTTTAAAAACAATTTCAGGTCTCTATGATTATTTCAAACTGAGTTACAAAAATGTACTTAATGCTCATTAACTGTAGTATATGACTTTGAAATGTTGACTTTAAAATTATGTCACGAACTTGTTAATAATATGTTGTAAGCTTTTACTCGAAATTCAAAATGTTTCACTCCACTTTAATCCCCCTAAAATTATTTTTTTTTTTTGAGTGCTAGAGGAGGTTTACCACAACATCAGCATGTAGGTTAAAAATGGACTTAGATACTTTAAATCGGTGTGAGATGATAGTGGAGAATTTGTAACTATTTGTTACTGAAAATTATAAAAAATTCTGCTCTGTTACCTAACAGTTTGAAATCTCAAGTAGAAATAAAAAGATAATTTTTGGTTTCAAAACGGGGTTACAATTTTCAAATTTTGAGTTATAAAAAACCTCTTGAAAATAAAAATATGATTTTTGGGTGTTAAAATGGGCTTACGAATTTCAAATGGCTGAGTAAAATTATAACAATATCTGCTTCATCATCTCGTATCCGTTTGAAGTTTTTATGTACATTTTAAGTTTTGCCGATGTGAGTGCTGGAATGGCAAATAGAAATGAAAATACGGTTTCAGTGGGTTAAATTAAAATTAAAACTTTTAGGAATTAAAATTTTATTTGTAAAGAAATCTACTAGTAAACAGTGAAAGTACTTGTTTCACGGGCGCTCCATATAAGTAGAAATTTTCGGGGGTCTCTGGATCAGGAACTTTAGATACTACCCCTAAATCGAGTCCTGTAAACGAGTACGTATTATTACGACTAAGAAAACGAACGATCAAACGGCCAAATAACAAGTGACCGTGATAGCAAACTTTGAACCGCATTAAGTGAACAATACAGCTGCATGTTTGCTTGCGCAATATTTTTATTATATTCTGCGCATTGAAATTGATATTTTTCATTTGTCTGTGCTTGATGTTTATATTAGGTATTGTGATACCAAATATAATTTTTATCAATTATTTTTATAATATAATCACTGGCGAATCAATAACACGATTAAATCACACGAACTGTTCAAATATCGTATGATAGAACATCGTTGACATTTTATATTGTTGCACGTGTGCTACACGAATACAGCTGCACATCTTGATTACGACATTTGAATCTCGAATCTATTCTTAACACCTACAAATAATATTTCTGTTTTTTTTTTTTTTGTCTACAAATCACCACTATTATTCGTGCGTGCGTGCGTGTGTATGTGATTTTAAAACGTATTTAGATAGTACATTATAAATAACATTATATGAATACACTAATTAAAAAAAAATACTAAACACGGTTATTAAACCAAATATATTTGGTTTTATATTTTTATTAACGATACATAATTATAATAAATATTACTGAATGTGTTATCAATTTAAAACACGATAATAATAGCTATAAAACTAACGTGTCTTTATTTATTGGTATTTTTTTTTTTTTATGCAAACCTATTTATTTATTATAGAAGTGAATATTATCAATAGCCTTATGTGTATATAGGTAGGTTAGTAATAATTATTATTGTCTGTACCTACTTAATTACTGCGATACAAAAATGATTACTATTACTTGTTGTACCTACGAATTTAAAATGAATTTGTTTACAATAATTTATATCTTATTATACATTCTTACGAAAAAAAAAAAAAAAATTAATATGTTAAAAAATAAATAAATAGCTTCTCAGGAGGCATAAAAAAACCTAATAATATATTGTAAGCTTATAACATAGCTTATATTAAATTAGGGTGACCATATTTAAAAAAAATAAAAAAACGATACAAAATAATTTCAGTAATACATTCAAAGTAATATTTATTAATTATTATAGTTTTTTATGTTAATTTTTCATAATTATACCTATATTATTAATTATTTTAAATACACCCGTATATCTTAGATGTAAAGTATTATCACCGGTATCGATTCTTGTGGTATTTTTCATGAATACAATTGCAACCACTGTCATAATTTATAACAAATTTTTTTGTCAACAAATTTATTTTATTCAAAAATAAAATACAATTTTAATCTATATGTATAAACTCTAAAATATTTACATATAATTTACATATCATTAAATAAAATAAGAATTAATACGGAATAATTGGCATTGACATAAAAAAAAACAGGACCAAAAGCGTCCTGAAAGAAGTTCATCAGGATACCAGGTCACAAAGCTGAAAAAAAGGACAACCTGTATAAGTAGGACGTATGGTCACCCTATATTAAATTCTGAATAGCTTTTTATACGTAAAAAACTTGTTTGTTAGATATTCGTACTAACCGTTAAAATTACTGGACCGATTTTTAAAACTTTCCACCTTTAAGTTCATATAGGAGAAGAGCAGTGAAGAATTACTTGTATATAGCGGCTTATATATAGCCGTTTCAATGGTGTTCCACTACTCTACCCCTATCCTTACTTAAAAGTGGAAAATCTCGTCAACGGGTTGACGGAAATCAAAAATGTCAACTCTAGAATGTATCTAAACTAATACTGTGTACTGGTATAGTTGTACGATTTTCAACATTGGTTGCCTTTTGAAAATTAAAGGTAAATAGATAAAAATTGTATCGTTCAAAAATAAAGGCGATAAAATATTATGTTTAGATACCTACGCTGTTTATTAAATTTAAAAATAAAATGTTTTTGAAAAATAATCAACACTTAGAAATATCTAGTGTAGACACTAAATATATCACCTTGTATACATATTTTTAAATTTATTCATAATTTAATTTGTTTAAGTAAATGTAGTATTTGATATACGGATGCGTAAATAAATAGTTATCAGTGTAATCAGTGGCAGCTATCTGAAGTGTATTTAAGGGTGCTTGATCAGTTCACAAAGTTTTACCACTACGACCACCACTACCTTATAATAATTTTCGTATAGAACTTTCCTTTAAATTAAGAATGCCTATTAATCATTATCAAGATTTTATAATCTCTATAATGTAAGCTTAACGGACCTTTTTACTGATTTTTTTCAAATAAATAACAAATCTATAGTTGAATGAATTAACTTAAATTTGATAATGAAAATTATTAATAACACTTAAAAAAAATCACGAATAAATTATTTTAATTTTTATATTGTTACATTATAATATAATTATTTAGTTATATTTTTTAATTGAGAGATAATGTTATCTGGATATAATGGGAAATCACGCTCACGACTGATTAGCATTAGATCTTCTAGCCTCTAACTACGATATGGTTTATAAGGTATCTACCTATGATCCACCACCCCACATCTGCAGGAACGCTTGAGCACCTCATAAACTATAGGATAACTGCCATATATTGTACCTTATATGGTCAGAAATGTTTTAGATTCTGAGCGCAGCGATTGTTTTTACTATGATAATTATGTTTCATTTTTTGTTTGTAAACAATTCTTCTACCAGAAAACATACTTTGATTTTTAAATGATTTTAAAATGTTTTCTTCTTAAAGAAAATCGTATATTTTTCGTTCACTTAGTTTTCTTAATAATTGGAAAATAATAAAATCGATAATTTTCATCAATCATATTGGCAAAATATGGGTAAATTGTTCATAATCCCGGGGGACATTCGCCATTTGTTTTGTATATATTGTCCCGTATTGTCATTTATAGTATTTGGCGATATACTGTACAATTATGGACATGAGTTTTTGTTTACAAATTAAGAACAATAAAACGATTTTCAAATCCATAGTTACAACAATGTTTATTTCTCTGACGCTCAATCTTATTTTTTATTTTTCACAATAGCATTTTTTTATTATTGTAGTACATGTTTTCTTTGGTCGTCAAAACATCAACAATTGCTCTCAAAAATCGCGTTATTTGTGCACATCGTCTCCTTTCTTGGCTTACGTAAGTAGGTACTTATATTATTAAATGAGTAAGTATATTATTAGTAAGTATAATATTCTCTTTTTTCAATATTCTGCAAAAAAGCATTTCACGAGGTTAAAATAAAATAAATGTCTAATAATTTTATGTTATTAATTTGTATTTTATAACATAAGGAAATAATAACAAAGATAATTAAATTACCACTAGGTGACTATAAATATAATTCCGACTGTCTCAATAATCGAACTTTAGAATAAATTGTCAAACGAAAAATATAATCTTAATAGTGTAATGTTATGTTATTTTCAACTGAAACCTATAAAAATATACAACCGAACCAAGGTATTAATTAGTATTAATTGATGTCATATTCAAATAATTGTATTTCTTACATCATAGGTAAAAATAATATTTTTGATAAAACCCGGAATTAGGTAGGTATTCGTAATACGTAGAGTGCACCTGAAAAAAGACATTGTTTTGTTTTTTATTTTTTCGAAAAATTGATATAACTTATAATTTAATTCGTTGCTTTATTAAAGATTCGTTAAAAAATTGTACAACAAAATGTTACATCGGTAAAATGTACGTACGTTTACATTTTATCGTAAAATTTATGTCTCTAATACCTGTATATATTTAAGAATATTAATTTATTACAAGTTTACACATTTATTATATTACCTATTACTTAGGATGCTATCCTTGTTTTCACAGTCGAGAGGCTCTAGAAAAACAGACAAATTAAAATTAAAAAACATTCTATTCTATTTATAATATTATAATATATTATGCGAATGTTTGCTTGAATGTATGGATGTATATTATTACCGCCTCTCACCAAAGGTACTAAACGGATTGAATCTAAACTTTTCATAGACGTATTTCTAGATCAGGAATAATATTTAGGTTACTTTAAATCCCGGTATTCAAATCCTAAGTGAAGAGAGAGGGGTTGACGCTAAATTACTCACCGTTTTGATACGAAAATCGAATTATTTGTGTTGTTGATTTGGTTACCTTGGCGATACGGATGTAAATAAAACCGTTATTATCAATTTTAACTAAGAAATGTATTTATTAATTTATAAATAAATTTAAATATATTTAATAATATGATTTCGTTATTTTAAATTTTTACGCTTTATAGTTTCTTCTTCCAGAAATTTGCTCTAATAAAAAAATGACGATATCAGTTTACCTAGTTGGTAATTAAAAAATTTGTTTTTTGAATTCCCTGTAATATTTTTTAAAAATTGAGCAAAGCCAAAAAAATGTAGATAAAACTAGAAAATTACGGAAATAATGATTATATAATATTCAATTTTGGTTTTTTAAATTTAGTTTAAAATATTCGTTGATATTTTGACTGATAATTTATGTTGAAGTCATGAAATTGTTTTCACAATAAAAATCCTTTTTTAGACGTCATAAATTTTTCAAAATATTTTCAAGATATTTATAAGCATTTTATGTTTGCGATTTTTTTTACGTAGTTTCATTTACTATGTGGATAGAATGGTTTGACCAAACAGAAATGCTTGAAAATATAACAGGAGTTACATAATAAGTTGTATTTAATGTTAAAAAAAAAAGTGTAATAGAGTATTTTTTGGTTTTATAATGATGTTAATTTTTTTTTTTTTATCCAATTAACCTAACCGGGAAAAAACACATGGGAAAAACCGGAAAAAAATATCGGAAAACCGGGAAAAACAGGAAAATAGATACATTATTAAACAAATATTATTAAAGGAAACATATATATATATATATATATTAATGATAAAGTAACACTATTAACCGAAGTCCACTCAGAATCGTTTTTCGTTTGCAATGGTTAAATGTTGCTTATACAGATATACATTAAATTTCCCCTCTATCATCCCAACTTATCTCACCTACGACAGTGGTCTACCCATCGTGGAAGTATGTCCGTATTTTTTTTTTACAATTGTTTTTATTAATCAAGTATTGAGGAAAACCATAAATATTACGGTCTTCAACTCGTGTATAAACGAACTTTAAACATGGTTTATTGCTATTGACAGATGTAAATAAAATAACCTTATGTATCCTACCTTCCGAACTTCGCACTTACCACAGTAATACACCCATCAGCAGTATCAGCTCTGTTTTTTTTTTTTTACTTTGATAATTTTCCGCGAGCTATAAAATGAGTTTAAATTGGAATATATATTCCAAAACTAACACCCGCATCTAAAAATCATAATTTAGTGTGATTAAACACGTATTAGATTATTCCTGGTGAATTTTTGAACGTACCTATGTATAATATTACAGTTTGTTGTTCCGACGTTCAAATCACATAAATCCATCATAATCACTATTCTCTCGGGTTTAAAACGTGAAATTTGATACTACGAATGTGTTTAATATACGATTTATCGATTTTCCTTATAATGGTATCGATAATTAAATTCGTTTGAAAAATAGGATTATTAAAATAATATGGGTGAATGAAAAAATTGAATTTGACGTGTTTGTACGGTGGCAGTTACACGTCGGTATAGACATTCGCGAAGCGTGAAACCAACAAACTCCATTATTTCAAACTGCGAATGAAATAGGCCTCCCCGCCTCGGTATATATTATGCAGGTAATCAAAGTTTCGTTGAATCCAAACAAATAACCCTGAAACCCGTTCCTCTAGAAACCGCACAATATGCGTCGTAAACCGCAACAGCATTACACGCTTTTTAGACGTCCGCCGGCCATGTGTATTGTATCCAAAGTATAGGAAAATTATTTCTGATAGGTACTCGATTTATTTGTATGAATATTATATGATTCCAATCGATATACCTACTCGAATAAGATTACTATATCGCATTACCTGTGTTTATACTTAAATGTGTGAAAACAGCGCTGAACACAATCGTAGAACTTACTATTATACTATAATGCTATAACGGGAAAATTATACTGAACAATAATGTAAAGGGGTTTTTTTTTTTTTTTTTTTATTAAATTCTATAAATTATAAATTGAAATTCAAGGCAAAACTATGTAACGATTTTATTTTGTAAATTTCACGTGATTTTTTTGACAAACTATATTATTTCGTTGTCGTTGTCAAAAACGATATAATATTATTTTCTATACGTCGTTAAACAGTAAAGTTTTATATTTGATCGCCTTAGGTTGGGTACTGAATTATAAATGTGTTTTTTTTTTCTTAGACTATTGACATAGGTACACGTGACTGAACACTATCGTTTAACCGTTTAAAGTTGAGAGTTGGTTAGTACAATAATTTCCAACTTCACTATATAATCATACTTCCGGTGTAGGATAATATAGAATATTTTAACTGCAGTCGACCTATTCGATTAATTATAACTCACGTAAAAAAAAAAAAGATAACATTCTGTGTGAGGTAGTTTTTAAAAATATTAAATGATTTACCAAAAGTGGACGTGTCTGCGTTGTATTTCGATTTCAATGATTTTTGATTCCTTGCTCGTAACATTCTCTTTATACACACTAGTCAAATTAAAATATTTTACAATTTTTCCCTAGAAACACACTCTACAATGATTGCATGTTATTTGTATAAATATCAATCGTTTTATACGGAGTAAAATGTTTTTGAAATGCATTTTATGAAAAAAATAAGGGCGTAAAAAATGAACGGACTGTCGGACGACGTGGATGTAGTACGGATTCCATAATATTATATTTTATGCAAATAGAAACCCGAAACCGCGGAAAAAAAATCGTTGCATATAGTGCGTGCATTTGCAGGTACATCTAGGGAACTCTGCACAGTGTTCCAATAATATTATTTCACATGGTTTTTGCGCAGGGCTGAATTGAAATTTAAAAAAAAAAAAAAAAATTGTTACGTTACAGTACGGTTACAATAGGTAATTATTATTCTCGTCGAAGATTAATTTTTTTTCTTTTTATTCGACGTGTGTATAATATATACTGTATAATATAGATACGCAGGAACACGTTACACCGTGTGTGCTCGATCGTCTACCTATTTATCATATTATATATATACATGTAAAGTTGCTGCCCGAAACTTTTTGAGATTGTTTACCGCACCAGAACGTGTTTTCCGAAAAAGTTGTTATCCCTTCAGTCTGCTCGTCGCGCGTCCCGGCAAACGTTTAGTTATAATAATTATACAATGCTACGGCCCCGGCGGCGGCTGGGTAATATCATTTTAGAGTACGGGTTTGATAATATTTTTAAAACATAATACAAAACTTATAACCGATGGGGGGGGGGAGGGATAGTGTTATTATTGAAATAAATCGGTATATCAAATAGTATTGTGTTTAAGGCCTGCCGGCGGTATTTCGATAAAGGTACGGAGGTCGCACTACACCGCGTCGTCCAAAACAAGCAGTGTTCCGTGTGCTGATCACGTGACGGTTGAACACGGTTCATGTGAGTTAACGATGGTTACTACAGATAAGCTGCACCAAAAACCAAACATCAGACATAAATAATTATAATATTATGATCGATCAAAAATGCTACAAAATTATATTATTCAAAAGCTTTCTGTACCTACCTATTAGAACTAAATTCGGGTCATCGCTCAATGTTCTTGTCACCTCGTAAATAATGAAATATATTATCTACAGTTGAATAAAGCAATATATTAAGTATGTCTAATAATATTGGATTCCAGTCAATAAGTTGACAACAACCGTTCAACTCGGCAATAACATCAGCCAATCGAAACGTTGAATTTTTATCACGACACGGCGAATTGTAGACAACGCGATGAAGTGATGAAGCACCTCTATACTCGTACTTTGAAATCATATCGATACGGAAAAATTCAATCGGAGCAGACATAATCAAATTACATAAATTGAACGGCCGTGATTACAGTTTTGAATAAACTGATCATTTACGCTACAGTTATATGATTTATGTATAAAATACATACCCTGCATAAATTCCCTTAAATATTATGTTTCATACATTACGTATTTTATGCGCAGTCGGTACTTAAATATTTTTCTCGCATGCGTAATATTATAATACCTACATAAATATATAATAAATTAATAACAAAATGCGATTTTTTTGTTTTTTTTTTTTTTTTTTTAGGGGAGATGATTTACATACAGAACGTGTAGGCCATTTATAAACGTCCATAAATAAAATCTTATATTATTATAGTCATAAAATAGGTCATTGTTTTACTTTATTTTGCAAACTCGTGCTGGAAAATTGCAAAATTTAAATAAAAAATAAATATTAAACTATCTGAAAAAGAAAAACCATTTTTTTTTTTTTTTATAGTATATTATTTACTCCGAATGAAAATGAATTAAAATTGTATAACTTTTATGGCGGATTAATGAAGTTACTGGACTTGTAATCCGTCATCTGAGAAGGGCTTTTTCTGCCGAACTGAACAGGAGATCCGAAGACGTTTGGTCACTGATTTGATGCTTTTACATTTCGCGTCATTATCGTTAAGTTTCGCAGAGAATGTCATTCGAGACTATACTTTGATGTAAAAACGACGTTAATCATTGTAGAGACCTCAAAAAGATACTGTATCCTCATCCCTATATACAGAAAAAAAAAAAAAAAACTACTTATTTAAATCGATATACCTATTAGATATTATGTTTTAAAATAAGAAGTCAACAACGAGTTAAATTTAACTCACTCAGATGTTTACTCGAACATACATTATTATAATAATATGATAAATGGGCAACCCGTGATTTATGAAGCACATATAGTGAACCGAATCGGAAATAAATTAAAATAATTACGTTACGTCATATTTGAAAAAATTAAAAAGATACCGCTGATGGGTATGCCGCTGTTGTAGATGAGTAGTTGGGAAGGTGCAGAATATAAATTTTGATTAATTTAATTTATATCTGTACGCAACGATAAATCAATACGATGGAAATTTCTGGTTTCTACAATTGTTTTCAACTGAATTGCACTACGAAAAAACAAAAATACAAAAATCGATGATAGAAACCGTTATTGTTGCGTTCATTTCCCCGGTTTACCAGCTGAGAAACAATTTAGAACTGCCGCTCCTACCGAAATTTCCGTCTGAGGCTTCAGCCCGCTTAGCATGACGTGTTAAATTCATGATAGTAACTTTCATATTGTGGACGGTATAGTACATCTCTCGTGATAGCAATTACGATCACGTTCAATTGTATACGACCACGGCTTAATATTCGAGCGTTACACAAATTCAAACTAATATGCAGTATCAATATATTTATAATATTGTACGACGATATTTTCGATTTTCCGTAATTAGTTTTAAATCCCGTTAACGAAATTACCGATTGATAATAATTATTACATCGGTGCGGTGTAGGTACCCGTAAGCTGTGAATGTATACCGAGTATAATCATGAAATTCGCGTAAATATTATAGACTTTATTAAAACGGTAAAATATTGTATAAGTTACCCACTGTTATTTAAACAGAATATTATAATAACGTTATGATTTCGTATAATAATATTATTATTTTACGGCGGCTATTATTATACAGGGTCACGCCGAAACTCGTTATCACTAGAACATAATTTAACTTTTTATTATAAAGTTTTTACACCTCGGCGCAACGCTGCAGTTAAAATACGTATTATTGTGATTATTATTATTATTTATTATTATCATGAGCGACTTGTAATATTACGCGGTGTAGTTATAATATGACGTAGGGAATATCCGAATGTTGGTTATTAGTTTAAGAATATTATTATGTATACGAATATACAATTCACAGGTATCTCTATATACTTATTACTATTACACAGGGCTGTGAATTTAACGATTTAACAAACCTTGGAAGAAAAAAAATTAATTGAAAACCTCTCAAATAAAGAAACTCAAAAGCATGAAATTCCGAAAAAAAACACTGATAATTAATACAAACAATAATTGATAAAAATACCATAAAACGTCTTGAAAATAGAAAAAAAGAGGTTAGAATATCGAAAAAACCGAAAAGCAAAATAAAAGTTTCAAATTTGAGTTCATCACAGACACATCATAGTATAGGAATTCGAAATTTTGTTCAAAGAAAGCTACTCGTATATCATATTTTGTCTTGTAATAATAATAATAATAATAATAATAAAAAAAAAATGCCTTTATTGATGATGTTATCGTAATCTAATATAAATCTATAGGCCACGATAAACAATTGGGGACGATATACGATTCTGAGCAGAGCGTATTATTAGTCGTATTTTTCACTTTTTGCCATGATATACCTTAAATCGACAAAAATTACATGAACAATTGCTAGTTTTTCCCATTTACAAAGAAAACTACAACACTACAAGGAAAATGAAAAAAAAAACCTCAACACACCGACCAAATCAAAAATGCTAAATGAAAGTTCCTTCAAAGCTTCTAATTAGAGAAAGATTACTGGTAGAAAATTTGTTAACGTTCACAAAAAAACCAATGTATTTTTCGCTTTGCACAGAGACTTGAATAAAAAAAAAAAACATTTGCTTTAAACTTGCAGCTCAATCAATTATTTTTACTATAGTTCGATGATTTTTCTTCCTCGTTTGAACTGACAAAATATCCATAATAATTTAACAACCTACATACACTGTTAACTTTGTTTTAGATACATTTTTTAAACATATTTTTTTTACTCATACGTAGTCCGCCGGGTACGATTAAAACCCGCGGATCAATTCAAGTTCGGGAGGTGTGGATTGTTATAATAATACAAGTGTAATAGTAAAGCGAAAAGTATAACCACGACTTCTCCCGTTAAATTAGGGAAGATTTTTCATTTCCGTACCACTATAGCCATGTAACAATAATTCGTCTCTTTTCTATTCTACACGTGCGAGCGGTCGTTTTCGGGACGGGCGTGATGGTTTCTCCCCCTCCCACCTTCGCCATCACAGTTTTTATATCTTTAATTTCGGGAGTCAGCACTTCTGGCGCCGCGGGCGGACCGGGCTAAAAATCGCATTTCCCACCTGTCAAAATATAGTAGGCAAACAAAAATACAACGGTCGCGATAATTAGACTAATAAATTCTCGAGGGGGATATACTTATTAAGACGAGCGCACGCGCCCGCTCATCGAGAAGCCTAGCCGCAAATGTCGAAACGGCTACCTCCTATTTATTCTGATGCACAAACAGTCGTAATCATTATTATTATTATGGTTTGGTTTTTTAGCGTCTGTCCGAGGCTCTAGGAAATTAAGCGCGGCGACGTTACTGAATTAATAATGCAGTGTAAACGTATATGCGTTTAGTTGTTTTCAATCGCGACAATAGGCCACGCTTACCGTTATTTGTTTGAGATGCGAAGTTTAAGCAATTTCTAATCTCACCACCATAGTCTTCCGCGATCATAAAATTTTTGTTGCGATATGGGTGCCAATTTAAACTGCAACGAAAACGATAAGTAAATCAAAAAAAATGAATATTTACAAACAGCGAAAAACCTGATAAGGTACATTTTAGTTCTGAGCATCAAATCTAGATTGATTTTAATCCGGATTGAAAGTACCAATCCAGATTATGAATATATAAAATAGTTTATTTTTAAATGCTGCGAGTATTGTTATTTATTATGCACCTAAAATGGTATAATATTTACAATTTATATTTGAAATTTTGAAATATACGTGTTTTGTGTGCTGTGACACGAAAAACAACCTTTGTTAATAATAACAAGGGTTTTTTTATAACTAATAGAAATTTATATGATCAAATATTGAAAAAGGTATTGCAAGTTGGTACTAGCTAATAGTCCGAGTGGTGAAAATAATTTTCGGTCTTACAAATTTCTTTTGATTATATATATAATTTATTTTAGATTCTGAGTAGAGTGAAGAAGCTTATGGATTTACAAAGATGTTTATTTATTTATTATTTTTTTTTTATCTGTTAACAACTTTTCTACTAGAGGACTTGCTCGGATTTCTAAGTGTAGTGCTGAATCTGTCCTCATTATCTTATAAAATCTTTTTTTGCTTTTCAGTTGATTTTTTTAAACACAATCGGGGTTTTTTTTTAAATAATTTTGTTTAGTATTAAGTCCATTTTATTCAAATTAATTGATTGATCCGACATCTGTATTAACTCCGAAATCCGAATTGGATTCGAGAATCCAGATTAAACTGATTAAATCCAAATCCGGATTATGTAATTGTAATCTTGATTCCGGATTGGTAAAAGTATTGCTCAGTACTGGTGTATAATACTGTCATAAATCATTGTAAAACAGGAATATGTTAATAAATGTTTAGAAAAAAATTATTTTACGACACAAATAAATACTTCTTCTTTGACATCTAACATCAAAATTATCTATATTTAAAAGTCGATACGTTAAACTCAAAATTGCTTACCCACACGCGTATATATCACATGATTTATTATCGATGACACTTACAAAATGTTTATGATTTATGTCTTGATATCCGAGTGTAGACAATAGTATAATACCATTGGTTATAAACTTATAAAAATATTAATGATCGTACTAAACGGACCATTGTTTGTATTGGAAATTTAAGATTGTGTTATTATTGTTGATATAACCCTATAATAATATGCTGTGAATTAAAAATGATCAGGGTTGGTATAATTTTTAAATTAGTTTTATTATGCAGTATAGAATATAAGGGTGGAATTTTAAGAATACATACTACTAAAAATAATACAATCATATTATTATATTATTATATATTATATCGCATATAATTATTATAATTATTAGGAAAAAAAATTCAAAATTTATGATAAAAAAAAAAATCATCATATATATATAGTGTATTGTAGTACAATTTTTATTTGCTTTTTACTTTAAATTTATTTAAAAGCAATTATGACACCGTGTTCAAAAAACTCTGAATAGAAATCACAGCTTACGCGGGTTTTTAATCACCCGGAAATAATTCGGCTGCTATAAAAATAAATAGTGAAAGCTATACACACCCTGTTTAACTAATGGTCAAAAATTACGCTCTTGATAAATAGTTTTCGTGACGTTTGATAACAACAACAACCCTATTAATCTAATGAAGTTTAAATAGAATTACAAAAGGTCGTCTATATCCCTAATGAAAACCGAAATGTATAATGCATGTTGAGAGACATTTTTTAGATTTTGACAGAAGCGAAATAGTATGTAAAATGTTGTATCTATAAACAACTTTATTATCATTTTTATTTTGCTCCAATAAAAAACTTTATAGAAATTTGCTTGTAGCATTTTTTTTTTTTTTTTTATCTAGTCGGTCGTTAAAGAGGTCGGTCTTTTGATTTTCCTTGTAGTTTTCGTAATAAATGGGAAACACTACATATTTCATATTTTTATTTTATTGATTTCTGGGTGACCTTGAAAACAAGGAAAAAATACGAATAACACTCTGCTCAGAATCGTTAATAGTTCTAATCGTTCGCGATGGTTGATCCTTGCGTATAGATATAAATTAATTTTCTCTATGTATCCGCCCTTCCATTTCCCTCTTAAAACAGTGGTACACCTATCGGCATTGTTGGCCTTTTTTTTCTTTTGTATTATCATTTGTATACATCATAGGGTAATAACCAGAGGAGTGCACTGTATTTGAATACTTTATTACCCGAGTAGTTAAATTTTTAAACGACTTAAGTTACGGTCTACCAGGTAAATAAAAGCTGCCTCGATCCTAGGGCCTCTAGGGTTAGATAAATAACACATATTATACTGATTTATTTCTACAGAATAAAGCAAGTAAGTACACTATTATTACCATGGGCGCAAATAGCGTTCGAGATTTGAGGAGGCTGAAGTCCAAACTACAGACCAGAACTGGGGTGTTGTTTTGAAGTGTACACCCCTAAACAATTTCCACACGATACGCTCGGTTTCAAATATTATACACGTTTGCCTAATTAATATATAATTGAACAATAAAACTTACTACAAATTTTTACACTATTCTAACTTATAGTTTATAATAGTTTGGTATACTCAGAATTACTTACCGTAACATACAATATGTATTACATACACACAAATGCTTCGGTATTGTTATTATTAATTTATTAATTTATATTTTACATTTAGAAATATTCAATTCAATGATTATAAAAAAAAAAATAACAGAACGAGTTTCGGGGGAATTATTGACATTTTTGGAGGAGCTTAACATCCAAAATTCCTCTTTGTTTGCACTTATGATTATTAACTTGATATTGTACGATCATTGTTGACGTAAGTATTGAATATTAACAGTAGGAACCGATAAGATATGTAATGATGACTGTTTTGGGGAAATCTGAGACTAAATTAGTGCCCTCTCCCTGCAACCATCGAACTATTAAATAAATTATTTAGCTTAACGCATGCGACAAATGTGACTGATTTATATCTGTATCTATTGTGACCATAATTTATATTACTTATTTATAATTTATAAGTAAAGAGTTGAATCGAGATGTATGTAACGGACTTTTCTAAGCATCTTATATTAATGAGATTTGGCTCTGGAAACGAAATACATTTGGAATTTAGTCAACTTTGCAATGACAAATTTGCGTATTATACATTGCGGTTATGCGGTTTTTCAATGCGACACGTTTTTGTACGTTTATAACGTTAAAATATAAAATAAAATAACAGACGAATTTACCATAGTGAATTCTTTACAATTATTTATCTTACATTTTTTTCTTTGTTTTAACATATATGAACTTGAGTTTATAAACAAATATAGATACATAGATTATAAAACATAATTATAACTAATAAATAATAATAATGAATTATTAGATATATTATATGTATGTTCATTAGAAAAAAAAATTATAGGTATGGAATATTAATGATCGTATTTATTTTTTGTCTTATCTTCTGCACAGATAATAACTTATGCAATTAATCGAAATTACGTCACCGTTCATTGTAAAGCAATAAGTAATAACATAAGTACCTCTAGTTTAATCATTTTAAATTTTGAGTGTAGCAAAGAATGTATTGGTTTTACTAAGATGTTTTTTTTTTTTTTTATCCTGTGTTAAAAAAATTCGACCATAAATCTTGCTTAGATATATACGCGCATCACCATTTCTGAAAGGGAATGTTATCCAGATGGTACTTTAAATGGGTCATTTTTTTGATTTTCCAAGTGGTTTTCATAATATCTGGGAAAAACTTGGATAAAACGTAAGAAAAACGGGAAATGTACAAACTTACTGCTTTTATTATTTTTAAATTTTGTTTTTTTGTTGTCATTCAGTTAAATATATTTGTAGTGACTTGAAATTCGAACAGAAAATTGATATTTGCCTTTTCTAGAGTGGTCAAAAAATTTAAGCCATTTTTGAGCTATTAATAGACATTTTAATTTTGCTAGTTTTGTATGTAATTTTTATTCGTGAGGTACTGGTGTGGTAAAATTGTTAGACTTAGCAGAAATATTTGAAAATTTAACAGGAGGTCCATTAAATCTTACTTTGTGGTAAAAAAAAAAAAAAAAATGAGCTTAATGTAGTATTTGTTTTATAATATTAAACAAATATTATTATAGAAAATATAGTGCCTATTTATTAATTTTACCATAATATGACATATATATATTGTTGACAAAGCATCACTATCAACTGAACTGCCCTCAGAATCGTTTTTTCGTTAGCAATGGTTTATCGTTGCTTACAGATATACATTAAATTACCTAGAACAGTGGTTGCACCCGTCCTCTATTAGCCTATGACGTCTGTTTTTGTATTCTATTTAGGACACGCAGAAAAAAATATTACTAAAAAATTATAGTTGAACAAAATAAAGTAAATATTTAATTGGTAAATAAAATGATATTATTACTATGAGTTTATAATTATATTTGTTTGTCATGGTAATGTTCACTATATTTTATATTACTGCATATTTATAAATGTTTGAATTACCTAATAAATATAGTTGAAATATTTGTGTATTGTTTTGCGATCGGCCGTGAATGTACATCTCGTTTCCAACCTATCATAAATTATGATAATATTAAATGGGTATGCAATTATTATGTTCTTTGTAACGGTCAAAAACTCATAAAATTAAAAATATTACGATAAAATAAAATTTTATATTAAGTAGTGTAAACTTGAGAGCCCATATAATAAGAGAGTGGCCATTTGAGTATTTGTATCGCAGTTATTTTTCGTCCAAAATTGTCCCGCCTTTTTTAATGTTTGAATATAAATTCTTATGAAATGATCATATTTTGAATATGATATATTATAATTATATTGAATATTATAAATATTAAATATACATACATAAATAGTTTACCTCAACTGAAAATGTTAGTTTTAGAGATTTTATTATTAATTATTTATTTATTTGTTTGCGAAAATAATAATAATAATTATTTATTATACTTATATTTATAATTATAATTTATTAAATTTATTATTTATTTCTTATTTATATAATTATTATGTAAATAAAGTATATAAACCAAGTATGACTAATATTTTTATACAATTTTGAACTCCAATATGAAAAAGACAGAGGTACTCCACGGACCCACAATGGGTAGATCACTATTCTATATGAGAAGTTGTGAAGGTAAGATATACAGGGAAAGTTATTGGTATCTGCAAACAACGATAAATCATTACTTACGAAAAACAATTTGAAGTGAATTTCAGCCAGGTATACATATTTTAAAAGTCCATAATTTTATCCACCGAGTCTTAACCGATTTTGGCAATCAAATGAACAGCAAGCGGGCAATATCATACGATTTTTTTATGTAAGATGTACTATACAATATTTATTTTATTTATTTATAAGAAAATAAGGAAAAAATGTTCAGAAAATGAGTGAATTATACACAACAATATACAAAATTACTATACTCCATCAAATTATTTGAACAGAAAATAAGCTGTGATAACAGCCGACCAATAGAAAACGTCCACCGGGTTGGCCTCTCTCCTATTATCTGGACTCTTTAGTGTAAACTATTAACGTATTCGGACTAACATTTATGTAATTAAAATAAAATGTGATACATTATAATATTTTTATTGCATGGAATAATTAACTTAAGTGTAAAAACTGTATAACAATGTAAGGTAATACTTGGTTAGTTTATTTTTCGGGGAGGGGTAGTAAAACACCATCTCTTTCCAACCACTTACTTCCCTTGTTAACGGAAGAGTGAGGATTAAAGGTAAACGTAAACTATTTAGATACTACGAAATTGACTTTATAACTTATAAACTTATGGAACGATATCGGTTATCAATAGTTAGATAAGCAGTCTAGTGGTTAGATCGTTAGATGTTGTAGTTGTTAGGTTCGATTCCCGGCGGAGAATTCCGTAACATGTTCGTATTTTTTGCGGTTTTTAATTATAAAACAAATATATTGCATTACTATTATATTATAGTTACTACTATACGTAGCTTTAACAACATAATGATGAGTGCATATTTGGTTATTTTTTAGCACTTAAATGCATACATATTACAGTTATTTTGAGTGCATAAAAACACCCGCACCCTATTTATTACTAAATATATTTTATAATATTTCGGTAACGTACCTGTATCTGTATCAATAACAATGTATACACTGTACATGTTGAACTGTACGTCTTGAAATTTTACACAGAATTTACGTGTTTAGCTAAAGCTACACGCCGAGAACGTATTTTATCCGATTGTCGTCCGACACGAAACAGACCTCCGTGCAAAAGCCAGGTCACTTACAGTGGTACGGAACGGCAGCACGTACCTCAGTCGACACGTTCCGACTGGTTTTGACCGCCGGTTGAGAATCAAATCGTTTTGTTTTTCATCCGACGTCATCCGATGTATACCATTGCGTATTATAATTTTATGCTTATCTGTTTATCACCTCGAATTTATTTCAATATAATTTAGTTGAACGTGTCAATATTCATTCTATTTCAAACATTTGTCTGGGTAATCGCGGAGGGGCAGACGGGTCCTAAAGTATTCGGCATTTGCTATCATTTCTTTCTTTATTAGATTCGTGCACCCACATTTTCTTTTTCTTAAACGGCCTAACTGGCCGTTTCATAGAAACCAAAGGGCAAGATCGTCCTCGGAGTCACTCATTTTTGATAAATATTTGAACAAAAGCGACCGGAATCGAACGCAGCAGTTGTCCGGTATCGGACGACACCCTTTTGAGATTATCTTGACAGCGTGTGTAGTTTGATGTCCAATGTCTGACACGCTCTCAGTGTGGATGTAGCCTAAAAACCGAACAATTTCGAAAATAATTTAAGACCTTACACTGATACCCATATACTGATTGCGTTTTCGACTTTGAAGTTTTCGCCACACCGACACTCTGACGTAGACTTTGGACACAGACAACCTTCAGCACTAGCTTACCAATTTATGATTATAAAAATACAGATTATTTTCCATTACTTAAATAATTTTTTTTGTCGTAATATAAATTTTATATGACATACTTATAGTTTTTATTTATTTATATTATACAAATTTTAAAAACTTAAAAACTACTCCGTAAAAAAAGCGTTCGCGGTCCGCCAGCTGGTGATCCCTGCTCTACATATTAATTTTATTTTGTTTATGTATAATTTTCGGGGATTTATCAATCGATAAATTCAGTCGTCCGCTGTACATATTCATATCAGAAAAAATTCAGAAATTCCCAATCATGTTTCAAAAATAAATAATTTCAAAACTTTGCGGTAAAATAGGATGACGGCAAATCGGGAACTGACCTCTCGTAAAAACCTTCTAAATTACAATCTTGATCAGTATCTGCCATAGACTGCATAATTCAACTTAATATAAAATGTCATTATCGGCTGTATAATTAATTACATAGTATTGTATCGATTCTCTTTGTTTGTAGTATATTTTTGATAGTGTTCCATAAATTATATACAAACAGAATATTAAAAAAATCAATACGGTTTATTGTTTCCAAGACGAATAATAGACAGTTTTATTTTTTTCATCCAAAAGAAATGAGTATACATATATAAATCTTTTTTTTTTGATTTCTTAATTAGCCTAACGGATTTTATTATAATTATTATACTATATCGCTATACGCCCACCCGTTGATAATTATGGATAGTTAACTTGAATAGGATTCAAAGGTTTAGCTATATACGTATAAATAATAAAATTACGACGATATCGAATTCGGGGGCACGAATAGTAATATTATTTTATTTTCTATATTACCTATTAGTTATTGTAGCTTAAAGGTAATTACACCAACTGTTGGTGTAATAAATTATTATCATTATCAACGTATCGATAAACAAAATGTTTTTATCGGTAGTTTTACACACTAAATATTAGATTACAAAAAATTAAATACTCCATTTCTGTGTCACGAACATGACGTAAGTATAAGAGTCGTAACAAACATCAATTAAAAACGAAACCGGTCATAAATATTCAATTTTACATAGTTACTGTTTTATGTTCGGTAAAAAAATTAAAAAAAATTGCTTTTATTTTATAATTTTTGAAAAATGTTTAGTTTTTAATCTTTTGAAAAATCAAAAAAATTAACATTTCAAACTTTTATTTTCATAAACCTGGTTTTCAAACAATTTAATTAATTAAATTCAAAAAAAGAAACTTCTCTTCGAATCTCTTTTCGTAAAGCAACGATTTATCGTTGCGTACGGATATAAATTAAATTCCCCTCTGTATCTCCTATTTACCCAACTTCTCACCTGCAACAGTGGCTCACCTATCGCGCGAAACACGTCAGTCTTTTTTTTTTTTTTATGTATTTGTTTAAGTTTTTCATTAAAACATACAAATTCAATTGTAACGCGAATATTCGGAGTCCTTATGCCTGTACGTCGTATTTATAAACAGAATTTGATGATATTCATTATCACAAGAAATATGGCAATAGGTAAATTTTCGTGTGCATTCGTGATTATAATAATGTTTTCTCCACGCCTTATCCGCCTATCGATTTATAATCATTAATTATAGAATTATATACGAGTATTTATCGATTTATTATATACAAATTCGGCCAATAACCTACTAAATCATACTATACGCTGGTCGTTAACGCACGGTTGATTTTTTTTTTTTTTTAAACTATAAAACGCGAATCTATACGTAATAATTATTACACTGTATACGGACGAGTACCATGATAATTTGACGAATTTATTTTGACGCTAACATCAAACGGTTCACACGTACGATTACGAAATACAATCGGGTACAAAATAATATAGGCCGTTACATAACATTATTGTTGGTTCCTAGTTATATTTCATTGTTTTGAAATAATTTCTAAACTCGCCGGTCACGATATTATTACCTATTCACAGTACGATATTATTATTAATCGATAAGTAAATATAATAATATCATTCATGAAAAACACCTACTTTATAACCGTTTTAACGCGTACAGCAATGAATTATTATATTATTATCGCGTTTGATAATACCTATACATTAATATTTTTTTTATCGCACATTTTATAAGTATACTTTTATACTCATGGTACCCGACATTATAATAAACAATAATAATATTATAATACAATTCGCATTCGTTTCGTACGTTTAACTATAGAAACGATCGTTGCTCGATTAGATATTTAGAAAAAAAAAAAAAAAAAAAAAAAAAAAAAAATTTTAAAAA